ATAATTGGGTTCGGTTTTCTGAGGAAGAAGACCGACAGGGCTAATTCCTCAGACCAAGAGCCTCTTCACCACGCCAAGGAGCCCCCCTTGAAGAGGAAATTTGGGCCTAGATATGAGAGAATACATCTATGTGGTATGTGTGCACCACATAAAACAAATCCTGCAGCACACAGTGCATAATGAGAAAAAAACGAGACTAATTTTCGATTAAAACAGCAACTTTGCAGTGTTTTTTCGTATATTTTTTATAGGGGTATTTGCGATTTCTTGGTCTCGTTTGATAGAATGGAAGATAAGTTACAGAAATAGAGATGATTTTGATTGGTTTTAGTACTGAAAATGGCTTGAAACTGAGCTGAAAGTAGCAGAAATGTTAAATTTTTGCCAGTGTTCAAGAGTAAACAAATGACCTCACACGTCTAATACACCCCCAGCTGGTGCATCAAAATATTCATCACAAATGTGCTGATATTTTTTTATACAATTATTACAATATTGCATGAAGTAAATTTTCCCACTTTTTGGTTTGAAGAAAAATTCATTATGTGAATTAAACATGAAAGGGAAATTTAAATTTGTAAAGGCCTGAAAACGTAACTAATGAACAAGGGGAAAATGTTAGTTAAGTGCCAGGAATGCCTGCATTGTTTTTTTCTGGACCCTATTTTGAATTGGAATATTTTAAAACTTTGCACTAAAATGGCCAAATTACCAATTTCCAATCACTATTTTGTACTTGAAACAGTTGAGTTGGCGATTTCTTGTGCTCAATCGATAGAATAGAATAATACTAGTGAAAAGCTAAGAATTTGGTCGACTGGAATAATGAAATTTGGGCCCTAAAATGGAGTCAAAGTCGGCAAAATCGCCAATGCGTAAATATCGCAGACATATCAAAATTTGCGAGGCATAATTTCGTCAATTTTCCTAAAATTTCGTACTTTTTGTTTATTACCTTCAGAAAAAGATTCTCTACCATTTTATAAGAAAAATAAAATTATTTTTTGAAAATTCTTGGACACTGGTGTGCACTTTGAAATTTGGCCTTTGGGGCCCTGAAAGGGTTAACACTTCACTGAAATGGGGCAAATATTTTCCATATTGGAAACTTCAAGGATTAAGTTAATGTACATAATAATTAGGCTAGGTTTCCCTAACCCTGCCATCCATCACCCCCCTGCTCACACTCCATAATGCTGAGTAAGACGTTCTTTCAATGGAGGAGGAAACTGCTCTGTGAAGCGCTTCCAGTTCTCCTCACCAACCTGTTCTTTAAAGCAGTGTAGAATCTAGGAACGACAACAATGTTTATACAGAGGGACGGAGGTATATTTTATTTTTTTTCTTCCCAATCTGCACCTACGAGTAGAAAAATGGTGTACAGTGATTCCCTGCCAACCCCAGGAAGGCCACAGAGTAATTCTGACTTTACAATAGTTTTGAATCATTGTGAATTTTTCTCAGTGGTGCCATAAATTACAATGCCTTTTTTTTTTAGGTTAAAAAGGGTCTTTCCCTGCTCAAATGTTAAGAACCACCAGAGTAGAACAACTAATGTAGGCCTCACTGAAAATAATTAAAGGTTTTTTAATTGAGAAATGTTACTGAATTAAACTCTACAGATTTTTCCGTGTAACAAATTATGCAAACAGAAATTACAAAAAAATTTGAGTTTTACACATACTTGAAGACAACTTTATAATATTTCTTTAAAGAGCAATACTACGCATCTATCATTTCTACAACCAAACAAACTCACTAAAGAATATATCATAATGCCATAGCTGCAATAATGCCCATTAACCCACAATTTGAAGACGCTGTTACTGTGACTAACAGTCACATTACTTAAATGATCACAAAAATTTGTAAATCCATTGGCTGCAGTCCAAACTATATCCATGATTTGTTTCAAATCAAAGCCTTCAGGTTAGCAAATTTGGACAAGTGAAAATTTCAGTTACTCAGGCCAAACTGAATGGGTGCTTACTCATTCTGTGAAAACCTGCCCCCAAATGGTACAGCAACTTAGCATGAGGTACACACACCTGCAATCAGTTTGGAGGGGTTTTCATTTCTCTCCCCGCCCAGCCTAGGACCAAGCTTCCTTGACTGCCTGGTCAACTTATGGAACCTCTGGATTTTCTTTAAAGTTTAATAAGTTATATCTTATCCACAATAAACCCTTCTTTTTATGCCGACTTACTTTTCCAGCTGGCAAATACCAATGGTCACAACCATACCAGACCACTTTACTACAGTAGATGAAGGGCCAAGCAACCCCCCCTGCTGGGTGCAAAATGAACCATGGATTTTTTTTTTTTATCATAACGCCTATTTCCCGATAAGGTATAGGGAACCAAAGAAGAAAACTTTCATCATTTACTCCTTAGCTGTTTTTCCAAAAGTGCAAAAGGGATCATAATTCAAATGATGCACCAACCTGAAACATTCCCACCTATCCTTCAGTGTAAATTTATGGAACCCTTCGCCAAAAAAGCTATTCTTAACAGA